TACCATCGCTAGAGACAAGAAGTACCTGCTCTGTGAGCCAATTAAAACCTGTGTGGGCTGAGCCCTGCCTGCAGGCTACCAGTTTATGGCAATCTCTCATTTGGAACATAATAGAGCAACATGCAACCAGGCCTTTAAAATGTGTCGTATAAAATAAATAAATTAATTAAATAAAATGTGTCGTATATTGACACATCATATTGACATTGTATGGTCGTATTATTTTGTCATATATTGACATATGACATTACGTTGTCATATATTGACAAGAGAGACAACACAAGAAGCAAAGAGATTAATTTGAACATAAAATGTTCTTAATCCTTATATTTAAAGAAAAAGCTGCAAACCATTCAAATGCCTAATAATCGCTGGAGAATGATTCCTCAAGCTATAACTATATAACCCTTTAAAGCACAGAGATATATAGAAAATGCCGATGCCTCTCATGGAAGTGTACGTAGGTGAAAATTAACTTAAGTAGAATACAAAACTATAAATGCATATGCGTTATAATCAGTTCAGTTGCCAGTCATGTCAGACTCTTTGCAACCCCATGGACTGCAGCATGCCAGGCTTCCCTGTCCATAACTAACTCCCAGAGCTTACTCAAACTCATGTCCATCAAGTCAGTGATGCCATCCAACCATCTCATCCTCTGTCATCTCCTTCTCCCACCTTCAACCTTTCCTAGCATCAGGGTCTTTTCCAGTGAGTCAGTTCTTCACATCAGATGGCCCAAATATTACAATATTTGTTACATTATGTTACAATATGATGAGTTACAATACATATTAACAAAGATCAGGAAGGAATTTGGATTGTTGTAAAGAAAAGAAATTGTTGCTGTTGGCATTTCCCCCCCCCCCAAAAGAAGCTTAAATTCACCTTGAACAAAATGCACGTCACCTCTACCAAAGCCTTCAGTAGAGCATCTAATCGTCCTTTGGGTTAGATCCAACTAAGCGTGAGCATGACTGTTTCAATGAGTATGGCTTTGTCTTCAAAGCTTGTAGTTTTGCCAGAAAGAGATGAATTAATTTCCTACTCTGGTATACACTGATGTTTTGTTTCCCACCTCAAAGTTCTGTTTTTCACTTTTCTCCTATTCACCCTGTCTTATAAACCTGGATGCAAGGAAAGCGATCCTAATCCCAAACTTCTTGAGTGACACCTCTCCTTCCTCTGCTCACGAGTCCACGCGGAATGAAGTCCCATAGCAGAGCGTTGCAGGTTCTTTGGCTCCCTTGGTGTATCAGGAATGGCCCAAACTTTGACGATACTTCAGGTCCTGGGAATTCCAGAATTGTGGGCCAGCACCCACAGCAGAGCGTCCATGGTGGTTGCCGTTAGATGCTCCTGCTCAGACTGTTGGGGCTAGGCCAGCACTTCTGGATGTCTGGTGACCAGACTGCCTCTTTCTACGTGTTACTGTTTGGTGTGATGAAGGCTTCCTTATCTTTTCCCATGACCCCTTCACACACAGTCCATAAAGCCTTTGATGATTGCTCAGGAATCTCAGGAGGAGAACAAGAAGCCTTGGGTGTGCATGCTGCAGGGCAGGGACTGGCTTGATTTTGTGCCCAGGGGCCAATTTTCGCTTGGTTGGTGGGGACATTATTTGGGGGTCCAAGTAAGATATTACCAAATTTAAACAATACCAAGACTGCTTTCCATACTGATGTGATGATGTGGGATCTGCAGTGGGCATGGCTTCTAACTGCTGCTGCCCTGTTTCTACTGAGATCTCATTTGCCTGCTTTATTTTCTAAAAACTTAGAACTTTCTAAAAATTTTTCTGCAACAATGAGATTTCACTTGCCTGCTTTATTTTCTAAAAATTTAGAACTTTATAAAAATTTTTCTGCAACAATGATTTTGATAACTCAACAAACAGTGAACATTTAATGACGGAACTTGATTTCCCTGTGCCTAGCTTTCCAGGCCTAGATGTAGATAACTCTCTGTCTTCTTTAGTTTAGCTCAGATAAGATCCTTATTTTTTATGAGGAACTTGTATAGACATCCCGAGTCTAGCTGTTACTCACCTGGGTATGGACTCTTTAATCAATAGAAATTGATGAGGTCGGATGAGAATTCAGGCAAGGCTTTGTTGGGATTTGTGCTGCAGCATGAGGGAGGGAAAACAAGTAACAGGTTCCTTGGCTCCTAAAATGTGGGTGAGGATGGAGATCGATTGGTGAGTTGGGCGGCGGAGGCATAGTTTTAGGTGGTCTGCCCACCCCCGTGGTGGTGCTGTGTGCAGAGGTCATGTGTGGTACCCTGCTTTTGCTCCCAGCATCTCAGAAATGAATGGTTGGTTTGTGGCCCTTTTGTATCTTATTGTTCATAATTGGCTCCAACTGTGCGTGCCTGAGGTAGGTTTTAGTCCCTTGTTGTTTCTTTGTATTCTGTTGCTTGAGAAGACATTTGTTCAGGTGCCAGTACTCCGGTAAAGAGTCCTAGGTCCCAGCCTAGCTCATAATTGCAGATTAACTTGACTGTCATAGATCATAGTTCCTCAGCCTATTTTTCTATTTCACTCCTTGACTTAGTGATAGACTGATAGATTCAGGTAGTATCTTGTGGTCCTTTTGAGTTGGCACCCTCCCCCTTCTCTTTGTGAGATTCTTACTTTCTTTGGAGTGTTATTTGCCTGTTGTCATTGCTGTGGTCCCAATGGTCTGCTTCCTGAATGGGAAAGGCATTTCTTTATCTGCTCACAGCTAGCATCATCTCTTGCCTAGAAGCTGGTAATAGATTTCTAAATGATCTCCCTAAATCCACTCTAGTCTCTTGACTGCTTACAGTGATCAGAGTCACCTGTTGGAAATGCAGGTCTGATCACTTCACCCTTTAGCTTAAAAGCTTTCTGTGACTTCCAGTTGCCTTTAGGATGCATTCCAAACTTTCCCAGGTCTGGGGACTGCACCCTATCAGGCTTACTTCTATTGCTCCCAGCTCTCTGGGCTCAGACTGCCTTGCCTTCTTCCAGCTCTTTGCTATGTGTTCTCCTTTCATCATGCATGTCCCCTCTGGCTGCAGAATTCTGCCCCTTTCTTTTTCTTTCTACTTTGAGGCCAATTCCACTGCTCAGCTAGACCCATCTCCCCTGCTGTTCAGGCTCCTAACATCGTGTAGCTCTCTTTCTTAGCCGTCATGACTGTTCAGAGTTTCCATATAGTTGTGTGATTCTTTGGGTAAGGCCTGTCTTCTATACAAGTCAGTAAGCTCCGGGAGGATGGGAGAGTGGCTTCTCATTAGCAGCATGTAACATGTAATGTAGGTACTTACTAAATATTTATTGAATGGCCATGGTTTCTCTTTGCTTTACCCTTCTGGAGTGTTACAGCTCTGCCTCATGTAAGTTCTGACTTCATCTGTGACTTCCTCCCCAGCCAGCCCTCCTCTCTCTAAAGGTGTTAGCCTCCCTGGAGCTTTTCTCATGTTTTAGGGAGGCCTCTGAGCTTATTAGTCTTCCAGTGGCCATATGTGCGTCCCCCTTTTTCCCCTTCTGTGAAACGCCAGCCACACTTTAAGACTGTCCTTTTCCTTGAAGCTCTCCCTCTCCAGGCTGTCCTTGGTGACCTTCTCTTTGTGCGCCTTTCTGAACTGCAGCTCCAAGCTAAGAGATGTGATGCTTGCAGTGTCAGTGACAGCAGCAGTGAAGGAGACTGGGTTTTCAGTGATGATGACAGTAATCAAGGGTTCTGTATGAAGCTCTTTTGTGCCTCTTAAACAAGAACTGAATTTACTTGTCTCTTTGTTGCAGTATTACCACTTGTTGCAGTCTTACCATCTGTTCTGCTATGATGAAGGAATTGCACTCATAAGTTTTACATTATCAATTGCTTGACTAGAAAAAAAGGGGTTAGGAATTTGACAATATCATTCATAATAAAGTTTTTTTCTACAGATTTTTTAAAAATAAGGTATTAATAGTCACAAAGTGAAAGTGAAAGTTGCTCAGTTGTGCCTGACTTTGTGACTCCATGGACTATACAATCCATGGAATTCTATAGGCCAGAATAGTGGAGTAGCTAGCCTTTCCCAATAGCCACAGACGTGTTAGTAAAACTGCTCACTGCCCGAAATTTAGTATCTGACTACATAAAGCATTTGCTCTGTGGTCTTTGTTTTCTGTCACTGCCCCCACTATCAGTAGCAAAGAACTTTTACACCATCCTATTTCCATGGTTACCCATTGTTATGATAAACCAAACACCATGCTTCCCTCCAGACCTAGCCATTATAAATAAGAGCTTCTCATAGGGTTGGTCCCAGATCTAGTATAGTAATGGTATATAGAGTGCTAATTAAATGCCCCAATTTTTTCAAGCCTCTTATTTTCTCAGATCTAGACAGCCTACCTCAAACAAACACACCTGTGTAGGTTTTGTTTTTGTCTTGCAATGGATTAAGCTTCTCTTTTTTTGAATAATTTTTTTAAAAAAATCGAGTTGTAGTTGATTTACAATGCTGTGGGTATCTGGTGTATAGCAAAGTCATTCAGTTATATATGTTCTTTTTCGTAGTTTCTGTTATGGTTTATCACAGGATATTGAATATGGTTCCCTGTGCTATTGTTACTGTTGTTAGTTGCTCAGTCGTGTCTGACTCTTTGCGACCCTATTGGACAGTAGCCTGCCGGGCTCCTCTGTCCTTGGAATTCTCCAGGCAAGAATACTGGAGTGGGCAGCTATTCCCTTCTCCAGCAGATCTTCATGACCCAGGGATTGCACTCGGGCCTCCTGCATTGCCAGCAGGTTCTTTAACTGTCTGAGCAACCAGGGAAGCGCCCTGTGCTATCCAGCAGGGCCTTTTCGTTTTTAACTCCATCCTAAATGTAATGGTTTGCATCTACGAATTCCAAACTGCCGGTTCAACCCACTCCCGTGCCCGGCAGCCACAGGTCGGTTCTCTGTATCTGTGAGTCTGTTCTGTTTCATAAATAAGTTCATTTGAAAACACCCGTGTTTTACCGTTTTCCCCCGAATCAGGTGATGCAGGCCCAGTGTGTCAAAACAGAAACTGAATTCTACCGTCGCAGTCGCAATGAGATAGTGAGTGGAAAAGGGCACACCATGGGGGCGCTTTATTGGCAGCTGAATGACATCTGGCAGGCTCCTTCCTGGTCCTCTCTGGGTGAGTGTTTTTGCATTCTTCGTGTGTGAGAGAAAAGCCAAACCTGTCGGGAGAGGCTGAGACAGCACAGAGCTGGAGGCGTCCCGTGAACCCAAGCAGGACTCCGGGGAGGGGAGGCTGTTCAGCTGCAGTGTCTGACCTTTGGCCACCTCTCCCACCTTCACAATCTTTGGGGTACCTGAGAGGCAGCCTCACTATGAGTTCTGTTCTGTGTGGTCACAAAAGCAGGCAGACGAGGGGATGGATTCACGCATAAGCATCTCAGCCACATGTGTGCGTGGTCAGTTGCTTCAGTCATGTCCGACTCTGTACGGCGCTATAGATTGTAGCCCGCCAGGCTCCTCTGTCCATGAGATTCTCCAGACAAGAATCCTGGAGTGGGTTGCCTCCTCCAGGGGATCTTCCCAACCCCAGGATCGAACCTGTGTCTCTTCCATCTCCTGCATGGACAGGTGGGTTCTTTACCACTAGTGCCACCTACGATGCCCCACTCTCAGCCACGTGTCTTTTAATTGTTGCTTAGAATTTTGAATTTATTTAAGAGGACTTCCCAGGATAAAAGGAGATTTACATCAGCACCTCTTCTGCTTAGGAGAATTCAAATGTGGGAAAGTCTAACCCAGCTAAACCTTAAAAATGTCCCTTTACTGATTCCCCTCCAAGTTCACCCGATCATCTTTATTTTGCCCTGTTTGTCTCTTGAGGGGAAAGGGAGTCAAGTCAGAAGTACAAGTAGGAAGGGTTGTCAGTTGGACCTGTTCAGTTGAGCAACAGGTGAGATGGCTGATGTGGTATTTGCTGTTTGAATTATTTCATCTATTTTGGTGCATTAAAAAAATTAAGGCGTAGTAATGAACCACTGGAGGTGATTTGAAGCCAAGTTCAGTTAATAATATGAACAAAGTTTTGGGTCAAAAATGAGGCAAAGTCATAAAGTAAAAGGTCGGTTTCGCTGGGTGAGGCTCTTGAGCCGTGAGTGCAGATCATGGGCTTTCTTCCCCATGTGTTTCGATAAATGCTCATCATTTCCTGCGGGGAACTGCAGTCTTGGTCAAGTTTCCCTGATCAGCCTGTTTATCAACATCAACCAGGGATAGGATATTGAATGAGAATCAGGGGTAGATTGGAGAAGGCAATGGCACCCCACTCCCAGTACTCTTGCCTGGAAAATCCCATGATTGGAGAAGCCTGGTAGGCTGCAGTCCATGGGGTCTCTAAGAGTCAGACACGACTGAGCGACTTCACTTTCACTTTCACGCATTGGAGAAGGAAATGGCAACCCACTCCAGTGTTCTTGCCTGGGGAATCCCAGGGACGGGGGAACCTGGTGGGCTGCCGTCTTTGGGGTCGCACAGAGTCGGACACGACTGAAGCGACTTAGCAGCAGCAGCAGGAGTATATGCTAGTGAAATAGCCTCTCTGGGATGCTTAAACTGAACAGAGAGATATTGTTCAGAGACTCTAGGAGCCCGACCCTGCTTCCTGTCTGTGAATGAGGTGGTGTCTTCTGAAGTTGAGTTCAGTTCAGCAAATGGGAGAGCTCGGGCTTGTAACTCTTGCCTTAAATGACTCTGTGCTTTTCAGAAAGGGTATAAGAGTATGATGTTAGAGGAAGAGTTTGCCTGCTTTCTAAACTTTGGCAGGTCAGTGCTTTCGAGGAGAGGGTCACCATCTCTCGGAGGTCTCACTGTTTAGTAACTGAAATGTGTATCACTGACTTTTTGCTTCAGTTGCTGTTCTCCTGATTGCCATTTGTTTGTTTTTGGCCTCCATGGCTGGAACCTCACGTTTGAAGTCTTTTCCTAGTAATGAATGTCCTAATTAGAGTGTGTAAGTTATCTCAGGTTTGAGTCATTTTCCATTTATGAGAAAACTTTCTAGAGCTTTCTAAGTTCTAGTTCATTTCATAGTTCTAATTTGATAGGCCTCCCCACCTTTCCCCCTTGTTATTTTTAAGGGGAAATGTTAAGAGTTGGAATTGAAGTACTGGAGAGTCAAAATTTTGCAAAACCTAAAGAAATTAGTTCTAGCTGAACCTCAACAGCTAGAAATTAGTTCTAGCTGTTCCTCCGTCTCAAAAACTTGCACTGGTGAATTCTGAGAGTGACCCCCATTCTCTCCCCCTCATCTCCCCCTCTCCCCTTCCTCTCCCCTTCCGTCTCTCACTGTATACCTCTCTCTGAAGCTGTTCGATGCAGTGTTTTGTGAAGAAGAGGAGGCATGTTGAAATACTGTTTATAGTTTGTGGGTTTAGCGTACTGCACATGCCAACAAGGCACGAGTTTCTGAAGGTTCTTGGTAGCTTCTAACTGTATTTTAGGAACTGCCGTTAATTGTCATGAGTTTGGATGTTCCCCCAGCAGTCTGAACCTGCCAGACATATTTGTGATTGTTGTTGTTTTGTTTCACTCAGAGGATTTGTGCCTATGGAAAAAAGAGACTTCGAGTTTTAAGTAACTTTATTTTTTAAATTATATAACTTATTATTTTTCTCTTTTTATTGAGGTATAGTTGGTCTACAATTAATTTCAGGTGTACAATATAGTGATTCAAAATTTTATAGATTATACTCCCTTGAAAGTTATAAGGTACTGTCTGTATTCCCTGTGCTCACAGTATAGCCTTGTAGCTGATTTATTTTGTACATAGTCGTTTGTACCTTTTAAACTCCTATGCCAGTCTTGCACTTCCCTCCTTCCCTCTCCCCACCTATAACCAATAGTTTGTTCTCTATATCTGTGAATCTGTTTCTGTTCTGTTATATGCATCCATTTATTTTATTTTTTAGACTACACATGTAAGTGATAACATGGAGTATTTGTCTTTCTCTGTCTGATATATTTCATTAAGCATAATACTCCTCCCCACCCAGGCCCACTCACGTCATTGCAAATGGCAAAATTTCATACTTTTTAATGGGCATCTAATATTCCATGGCATATATTTCTACATCTATCTATACATATACCACATCTTTTTAAAAATTTGTTTTTAACTGAAGGATAATTCGTTTACAACATTGCATTGGTTTCTGCCGTACATCAACATGATTTCGTCATAGCTATACATATGTCCCCTCCCTCTGAAGCTCTCCCACCCCTCTAGGTTATTACAGAGCCTTGGTTTGAATTCCCTGAGTCACACAGAAAGTTCCCATTGGCTATCTGTTTTACATATGGTAGTATATATGCTTCCATGCTACTCCATTCGTCCCACCCTCTCCTTCTTCCCCCTCCACCCACGTCCATTGGTCTGTCCTCTATGTTTGCATCTCCATTTCTGCCCTGCAAATAGGTTCGTCAGTACCATCTTTCTAGATTCCATATGTATGCATTAATAGACAATATTGGGCTTCTCCGGTGGCTCAGATGATAAAGACTCTGCCTGCAATGCAGAGACACGGATTCAATCCCTGGATTGGGAAAATTCCTGGAGAAGGGAATGGCAATCCGCTGCACTATTCTTGCCTTGAGAATTCCATGGACAGAGGAGCCTGGTGGGCTACAGTCCTTGGGGTTGCAGAGTCGGACACGACTGAGCAACTAACACTTTCACTTTCTTTTCAGAGAGTGCGTTTCTCTTTCTGACTTACTTCAGTCTGTATGATAGGTTTTAGGTTCACCCATTTCATTAGAACTGACTCAGATGAGTTCCTTTTTATGGCTTGGTAATATTCCATTGTATTTATGTACCACAGCTTCTTTATCGAGTCATCTGTCAGTGGACATCTAGATTGTTTCCATGCCCTAGCTATTGTAAATAGTACTTGGGGGTACATGTGTCTTTTTCAATTTTGGTTTCCGCAGGGTATATGCCGTGTAGTGGGATTGCTGGGTTGATGGTCGTTTTAGTCCTGGTTTTTTAAGGGGTCTCCATACTGTCTTCCATAGTGGCTGTACCCGTTTACATTCCCATCAACAGGGCAAGAGGGTTCCCTTTTGTCCGTACCCTCTCTAGCACCTGTTATTTGTGGATTTTTTGATGATGGCCATTCTAACTGGTGTAAGGTGACATCTCATTGTAGTTTTAATTTGCATTTCTCTGATAATGAACGATGTTGAACATCTTTTCATGTGTTTATTAGTCATCTATAGGTCTTCTTTGGAGAAAAATCTGTTTAGGTCTGCCCACTTTTTGATCGGGTTTTTTTTCTGGTATTGAGTTGTATGAGCTGCATCTATATTTTGGAAATTAATCCTTTGTCAGTTGTTTCATTTACTATATTTTTCTCCCATTCTGAGGGTTGTCTCTCCAGCTAGTTTATAGTTTCCTTTGCTGTTCAAAAGCCACATCTTCTTTATTCATTCATCTATTGATTGACACTTAGATTACTTACACATCTTTGTTGTTGTAAATAATGCTACAGTGAACAATGGGGTGCATATATCTTTTTGAATTAGTGTTTTTATTTTCTTTGAACATATACCCAGCAGTGGAATTGACAGGTTTTATGATAATGCTATTTTTAGTTTTTCTGAGTCACCTCCAAGTTGATTTCCATGAGGGACACATCAATTTACATTCCCACCAACAGTGTAGGAGGGTTCCCTTTTGCTCCACATTCTTGCCACCGTTTATTTGTGATTGTTTTGATGATAGCCGTTCTGACAGTTGTGAGGTGATACTTCATTGTGTATTGATTGGCATCCCTTATGATCAACGATGTTGAGCATCTTTTCATATTATGCATGTTGGCCATCTGTATTTCTTCTTTTGAAAAAAGTTTACTCAGGTCTCCTCCCAATTTTTTTGATTATTATTTTTTTTCTATATTGAGTTGTATGGGCTGTTTATATATTTTATATATTAACCCCTAATGGTCACATCATTTGCAAATATTTTCTCCCAATCCATAGACTGTCTTTTCATTTTGTTTATGGTTTCCCTTGCTGTGTGAATGTTTTTAAGTTTAATTAGGTTGTTTGCTTATTTTTGCTTGTGTTTCTTTTGCCTTAGGAGGCAGTTCCAAAAATATATTGCTACGATTTGTGTCAGAGTGT